ATCCCTTCTGGCTAACAAAAGTTCAATAGAATAATAGTATAGAATAATAGTATAGAATAATAGTATAGAATAATAGTATAGAATAATAGTATAGAGTAATGCAATTTCCGCCATCCCCTAACTTAAACTTTTTTCTTGTAAAAGCATGAAAAACTAAACAAAGTATATGTATTCTATTTTTGACATATACAACCAGCGATTGTTAGTTATTTTGTTGAATTATTAAAACTGCTGTTATTTTTCTGAACTATACTGACATGTGTATTGCGTATGCCCCCCCCCATCTCATCCCTGCGTGCATTTATTGTATCTATGCGTATTGCGTATTCCCCCCCCCCATCCCATCCCATCCCAGCGTGCATCTATTGTATCTATGTAAAGTATCCAACTGTGACCTAAGATTATATTTTCTCCCTAACCTTGAAATTTCTTGAGTCTACGTCTTTGTATGGTTTCAGGTGGGTGGTTTCAAAACTTAGAGTGTATGTGTATACATACAGGATTATCCACAAAAGATGAGACTTCGGAGACGATTGTACGCATTTTGTTTTTTCCGTTTTCTCACATTATGGGTACCTTGTCGGCTAAAACCGGCTTATTTCCGCACTTAATCTTTGATCACACCATCAAGGTTGAAAGCAAAAATCAAGCTTAAAATTGTCATATATTTTGAGCTTTTTGGTCGTCTTTACAGTCTCAACATTTGTGGATAACCCTGTACAATCAGCCCCAAGAATCAATTTGTACATTGGATTTCTCACATTTTTATTTCTTTTTAATATACATAGTAGATACCCTTATTTCATTCTATTAATTATTAATCAATGATCACAATTGGAAGCCTTTAATATTACCGCTTAAAGCTGTTCCTCAGTGTGAGATGTCTAAACCTGTATATTTTACAACATTTTCTGAATTTCGGATCAGTCTGGCTGGTTGTAATTTCAGCGGAATTGCATAACTGACACTTTGACACAAACTCAAATTTTCTAAACCATGTATCTTTGCAACCTGATATTTAAAACTAAGACTATTTGATCTAGCAGAAGTCATTGTTTGACTATAAAGGTCTACGACATTGGGTTGCAAAACATAGGGATAAGCACATCAGAGTTAGTGATGGAGGCTCAATTCCTTTTTTTTAAATTTAACGTACTTGTAAATATAAAGTTAATACGTTGTTGATATTAATGATAATATCAACTGATTCATATATTTCAAAGCAAATTAATGATCTTATAACATAGAAGGGTAAATAGCTTAATTGCACTGTAAAACTTGTAATTATGTCGATTAAAGTTAACTTATAACTTATAAAACCCAAATATAGCGACTCCCAAGGATTGTAAGGCCTTACATTCTTGGCGACTTCATACTGTTTACTGCGAGAGAGTAATCGTTCCTTGTTTTAACAAACAAGTCGAGGAGATCGTGCCCATTGGTTTGGCATTGATAGATCAAGAGCTTGTGTCCCTGTTGACATTGATAACTGGTCCGCGTTGAAACATTCGAGCTGAGATTGTGCCCATTGGTTTGGCAATGATCGACGAAGAGCTTGTGTCCGCGTTATGACATTGCTAGCTGAGCTTGTGTCCGTGTTGACATTGATAGTTGACGAGTTGTACCTGGATAGATACTGGTTTGAAAACCCCCCTGATGGAGTAGGGTATTTACTACACTTATACAATTTGACCTATAACAATAAGGAATATGAAGACGACTTTTAGACTCAAGTTTTGATCTTAAATATCAACATCAAATACAAATAAATGTCAACTTCCTATTCCACAGTGTTTATGGGTGATTATAAAAGATTGAGTGAATGTCCCGAAAACATCAAAATGTGATTTAAAGCTGAATTAGTTTAATCAGAACACTTTCACATAGAATATCTTTAACATTAATCCTATATAAAAGGTTTTAAGTTTAAACAAACACATTTAAACACAAATATTATTCTAACTAAAACCACGCATAATATAGAGAGGGGTTTTTAGACGAAGAATATTTGGGATTTCCGAGAAATGCGTATAGACACAGTTAACCCAAAGGGTTTAAAAAGATCTCTCCGCCCTTGATTATCAGACAAAGGGTTAAATTATACCGTTGTGAATCAGACACGCCTCTGTTTAGATAGAGAGTAACTTAAAATTATGTCTACAGTCCTTTAAATTATAAAGAATTGAGAATTTAATGAATATTTACTGAGAAAAAGGAAACGAGCAAAAACCCCGTAAAATATAATATTTTAAAGGGCGTTTTGACATAGAATATTTGGGAATTTCCTCGACTTAAAGGGAGTGTTCGCGAAAAATGAAAGGGGGTATAGGCTTAATGCGATAAAAAAGCACTTTTGATCGCTCCTAATCTTACTTCTATCTGTTGCGTCTGTAAGGAGAAAATTGTTAAAGACGTCTCATACCGAATAACTAAGCGCCCATACAAATAAAAAGTTAATTTGCTTTGAATTTGATTATTTCTCTTGTTGCTTGCGCAACTATCTAAGAATGCCGCGCACCACTCACATTTTTGAAACTGTTAAAACGTTTCCTAAAAAAATAAAATATTATAAAATATAAACTATATACAAATGTGGCGAAAGATAATCGAACTATAAATTGTTATTTCTGAATAATTTGTTTGAAATTAAATTGATTTTTTACGGTCTAAGTCACATGTTGCAATTTTCTGAATTTGTATGGGCGCTAAGTTATTCGGTATGAGACGTCTTTAACAATTTTCTCCTTATAGACGCAACAGATAGAAGTAAAATTAGTGGCGATCAAAAGCGCTTTTTATCGCATTAAGACTATACACCCTTTCATTTTTCGCGAACACTCCCTTTAAAATGATACGAATACAGTCCCTTTAATCTCAAAATACTGCGAATTAGATGAATATTCACTCCGAAAAATGAAACAAATATTGTTTGAGCTAAAACCACGTCTAAAAGAAAGGGTGTCTAGACTTTGTGAAAACATGTTTTGTATTTTAGAATTACTCACTTCAAGGTTACAACCTAGGCTAGATATAAGATTCTAAAATCTAGAAAAATCAAAACGTTGACATCTCTAGACTGTACACGGGAATTGGCTCCAGGCGCTTAACTTTTTTTCTTGCCAGGGGGGCTCAGAACTCATTTGAATGCCTGCAAACTGAAGCTATACAAAATACAATTTAATCTGAGACACTCTATGTAGATATATTCGCTGAGCTTGTATGTTTGTCTGTTTATTAGTTTGTTTGTTGTATCTAAAAAACCTTGAAACGGCTAAACCAATCTGGCCAAGGTTTTTGTACGGCATGACTCCAATAAAAGCAGGAACATTAACACTAAAGTTATTGGTAACTGTTTCATAGAAACCAAACACTCGCCTTAAACTTTTAATTTCTAGACCTCTGCAA